AACTTCATATGGGTTTGAAGTACTTTTATCTTCAACGAGTAGCCCAGCATTCAATGCGGGTCGAAGCCCCCTTTTCTCATTAAATAATAGTTGAGGAACTAAAATTTGGAAACCTCAATTCCATTCCAAATGCTAACTTTAAGAAATCTAAGAAACAAGAATCAACCATCCTAGCAAATGCATATGGTTAGTACAACTTCTGAACAGGCTCCTAAATACATATAACATGTACCAGGGGTTCAATCTAGAGATTCCCACATCATATTTACGCGAAAAAGTTGTGCAAATTTCTTCGAAAAGATCTTCCTCCCTCTTATATTGATTGGTGGCCGCACCCATCCGCTTCATTAAACTTAATGTAGCCGCTGCCCAGCCAAAAGCACAAGCTTGTATCAGCTTGCAACTCATGACCTTCAGTTAGACATCTTTGGCTCTAATCAGTCCGTCATAATCACTTTCGACAGGGGAATAAACTCTAGAGTTTCTACATTTGCAAGAAGATGAGCAAGTCAAATCAAAATTCAGGTAGTTGTGGAAGTTTTTGAAAAAAGGTAAACATGTATAGGTCTTTACACATGTAAGATACTGAAAGCATTATTTGCAAGTCTGCTAACGGCAACAAATATTTCGAGGATGAAGCTGAAAACAAAAGATTCAACCAAAACAAACAAACAAATAAAGAATAGCATTGCGTTTCATGTTGATAATCTACCATTCCACTTATTCCTCACAATGCATCAGAAACTAATTAATGTTTCTATACTTTCCTACAGAGCACCATTATACACACCCATGGAAATGATACGGTTTATCCTAATAGGCAGCAAATGTCTAGTGCAATTGAAATCCAGTGGCATCACCAATAGATGCTGGCAAAATGGACAAAATTTTCAAGATTCATCGAACCCACACAATTAAATCTTTGCAATAGGCATACTTTGCAAAACTCATAAAGGTGGAGTTGCATTGAAAATCAGCACATATGCTACAAACTTAAAAGAGAAATATCAATTAAAAAAAAAAAATGCTTACCCTACTTATGGTGTCTACTATGATTGGAAAGCTCCTGTCTTTTAGCTTCAAGTTCTATAAGAATGCTCTGAACAGCTTGAACTTTTGTAGACAGATGTTCACTATGGCTTTCCACGTCTTTCATGAGACTAAGGAGATGTTCTCGGTATGCTGCAGTTAGTCGTTTCTTGATCCGAAGTTCTGCTGTTAATTCCTGAATTCTTTTATCTTTCTCATCCTACAAGAATTACACAAAAGGTATCAGTTTATGACAGTCCCATAAACAAACCTCAGTTGGCTCCAAGTATAAAATGGGAAATCATCAGCAATTGGTTATTGCAAAAGTTGGCTCCAAGTAGCCTGACTGCTTAAAGCTTAGAACAATCTTTACATAAGTTCCTATTAGTCAATCTATGCTTTGTACTAATCCAAGTATCCAACTAATGTCTTGTCAAACTCGGCGTAATAATGTACATAGTCATATACTATGCATAGAAACAACCACCAACTTCCTCTCTAAAACTAAACCCTGCAAACTAGCAGAATCGATACTACGAATGCACTTAATAATCTAAAAGCAGCTTTTCCTTTTTCCCTAACTTTAATTCTTCTTTTCCTACAATCATATGTTCTCATGCACTTAATGTTCTCTTTTCCTGCCAAAAAGGATGGGCAGGGTGAGAAGTTCATAAAAATTGCAGGACAATAATTAGAGATAATCAAAAAGTGATGGAAGCATAAGGCAGCCTGTACATTTAGATTCTACTGTCACAGATACTCACTTTTATCCACTATCACGAACAACCAAGATGCACCACAATCTCATGTACTAATTAGAAGTTTAAGAGTGAATCTTTCTCGTGTTATATTGCACAGTCTAGATGAGACCACTTATTAATGCATTTAATATATCTCTTTCTGCGTTAAACTGGATTCCAAGCAAAATGACCACTGCTTAAGCAACAATGAGTAGTACCAGAGTCCAGAGGTGGCACATCCTACATACAATTTTGACAACCCAAGCCAAATAACTCTATGTGTAAAAATGGAAAGTTTAATACTGTAATACTACTGTGGATAACCATCGGCAGTCTATTGAGCATACCAAATCAAGCATTCTTGAATAGTTAGGTTTTACCGGGGATTACTTATTTGAAACAATTAGCAAGAGAGTTGGGACCTCTGGGTATATTGACTAAAGTACTACAAACAAATCAGGCAGTCATAAAAGAGGCTGTGCAGACAAGTAAACAATTTTTGCAATGCCTCATGCATGCAAACACACACATCCAAAGTGGATATCTAGTTGTGTAGCTACGAAAATTAGCAAATAAGGAGCCTAAAGAAGATAAAAGAGAGGGGTTAAAGTTAGGGAAACTGAAATAAAAACTTTTATTACATGTTAATACAAAGGTAAGACTAAGAAAGCTTACGAAAGTTGGACGTCTCTTGGAAGGTGACATAACTAAAGGATGATTGTGGTCCCTAACAAATTTTCTGACCACCCACGTACCAGGCTTCTCTCTTTTGACTAGGATCATTGCTGTACAACCATCACGTTGTCTATCTCGCTTTTGATTGGCTAAACTTGCTGGCCTTTGATTATCTGGTATCCCTCTACAACCAAGTCCACGTGATATAATTGACCCATCACGCTCTGACTTGCGAGATGACAGAACACGGGTTATAAATCCTGTCATTCCAGCATACTCATCGTAGTACGCTCTGGCAGCTTCTTCAGATTCAAATGTCATACCTTCATTTGGTTCTTGGGTTCTATGACTTCTATCAGCTTCAGATGTACTAACTTGTCCTTCTGCAGACGATTCTACTCTTCTAGCACCATTATCCTCTAAAACTTGCACATCCACTGAGATAAACAAACAAATAAGTGAACTTTCAGTTGGCAGACTTTCTCACAAAGATTGACAGTAAAACAAAAAGAAACAACAACAACAACATACCCAGTGTAATCCCACAAAAAGAAACAATTTTTAAATTTTGAACTTTCACAAACAAGCCTTACAACATCACAAAAGGTGGGAAATTGGTCTAAAAACAGCTTTCAAAGGTATTTGGAGCTGGTAGCATCAATCAAAACAGGATAATGCGTGACAGTATGAAGCAAATACTTGCTTCTTCACTATACATTCAAACATAAAAATTGAACTCCCCCATTTCAATTAGTTTGTCTTATTTCCCATTTTAGTCCGTTACAAAAAGTGAGTCTCTTTCCTTTTTTGGCAACTCTTCTAACTTTTCACGTGACATGTTTAAGACCACAAAATTAAGGGGAATTTTGGCACATTTTACATATCTTTAGATTATGACCCCAAGATTTAAAAGCCTTTATCTACTTTTTAGAACTTCGTTTCAATTCAAACCAGACAAACAAATTTAGACCGAATAGAAAAGGGGTGTGTCAGCAATATATGCACACAAGAAAGCAAATTTGTACAACTAATTCAGATTATAAAATGGACCAAATTATATCAAAATCACGCATCATATACCTACTTTTGCCCTATCAAGAAAACTCCCTTACTTGCCTTAAGTTTAGCAGCAATTAGGAAGAACACAAATTCCAGAAAAGTTTTCATGGGAAAATAAATAATCCTCACGAACTCAATACCCAACTAAAATTCTTAAATCAATGGTGGAAAAACTGAAAATAAATAGAGAAATTGCAGGAACAGAAAGCTTTAATCTTGCTGAAGAAATTGCAATGCCAAAAGAAACAATTTTATTCTGTTATTGAGCTAGTTTTATACATAATTGCATTCATGTAAACAAAAAGCAGTGATCTTTACCAAAACCCAAAAACAAAAATGAAAGAAAGAGGACTTACTAGTCATCCCTTGAGGAAAAATGAGTGTTTTGGAGGTAACATTTTCCTCTGTTTCTGAAGAAAGAACAAATACTCTAGGTAAAACTTTGGCCCTAAAATAAAAGGTAAAATGGACAAAAAGGTTTAGCATGTTTTGGAGTATGCAAAAATTATTTTTCAAAATTTAAAAAAGTTTTTCTTTTCTCAAAAGTACAATGAGAAAATATACTCGGAAGGAACTATAAAAAGAAAATCGGTCAAATATTAATTATTGCTCCACAATACTTTTCAAATTGATTAGTCAAACACAAACTGATTCTCACCTAAAGGCATTTCATTTTTCTTAAAAGGACTTTTGAAAAAAAAAAGATTCTAAAAGTTTGGCTACAGACTAATTAATTTTAGACTTATGTTAGTTAAGTTTTTTTTTTGTTCATTTTTGTCCAAATAATGAAGTTGAACTATACAATCATGAAAATTACTAGCACTGCAGTTTGATTTTTTAATCATTAGTAATTTTTAATATGCGTATGGCCGAGTTTATCATATTTCCATCCCCTTATCTTAGACAATCGTAATATTTTGTTACGTTCTACCATTATATACCTACTATATGCATTATAGTTATTTCTGAATTAGCAACTACAGCTAATGCATTGAAACCACTACTGGTTGAGTGGACTATATAATTGTTTAGATGGAAGCGCAACACACCAAATTTAATATAACTAAAGATCCAAAATGTGTACAAGAAGACTAGAATTTTTAGTTTGACTGCTCCAGTTTTTTGGATATATTTTTTAGTTAAAATTTAACAAAATTACCAACTCCTCTGGTTCTCGATATGGCGAGATGGATGAGATTCCTTCACCATTATCTTGAGTTCAATCTCTGCGTGAAGAAATTCTTGGTTCGGAATAATCGAGCCAGCAGATACCACTTATAGGACTGACAAATGTAACTATGCCATCCATAAGCACTCCAACATAATCTTAAAAAGTTGGGCATAAAAGAATAGCCAACAATTACATACTCGATATAATTCCACAAATGGAGTCTAGAGTGTACGCAAACCTTTTGGAATATGTCTCAAAGTAATCCTTGAAGCATCCAAAGAAAGATGAAATACAGTTTACTATTATCTAAAAGAACTGGAAAGACCTAATGAAATGGACTTGAGATTTTACAAAAATGGAAAAAAATGACTCCAACTTTCCAAAAGAATGTTACAATGGAAGCACCAGAAGTAGACATTCTGTGCCAATTTTTCCTACATTTCCACAATTCTACCCAAAAGGAAAAGGAAAAGAAAAAAGTGAAAATAAGATATGATCTGATCTTAAATTTTTCATACTCTTCCCAAAGAAAATGAAAAGGATAACAGAGAGAGAAAAAGGCAAGCCAAGACAATAATCATTATGATCTTTACTGAACTTAGGTTCTACACTAATATCAACAAAGGCAAATTAAGCTAAAACTATCTATGATGATGTTGATCTCTGGACTCCAACTCCCTTACATTGTGTACAATATCTTGGATCTTCTTGGACAAAGATTGATTGTGCTCCTCAATGTGCTCGAATATCATTTCCAAATGCCTCTTATATGTTGCAGATCGCTTTTTCTCAGCTGCCAGTTGTTGAGATAGCTCCCGGATTTTGTCATGCTCGTTCTGCAGGAAGAAGTTGAGAAACCAAAACAAGAGTTAGCTGAAATCGGGTAAAGTTAGTTCTTTGAAGATGAACGTTAGGCATAAGATCTCAGTTTTACATGCATCGACAGAGAAAATCAATAATTTTAAAACTACTGCTACAAGTGGCAATTGATAAATCGACTAATTTCCCCCACTCCAGTTTATATGATCTAGTTTCTAGTTTAAATGTCTTCACGATGACAATAATATGTACTTTATGACAGATTTACCATCTCCAAGTATTGTAGTATTAGAGATAACGTTTTCAAATTTGAATTTGATACTTCCACTTGATCAGTATTTTAAGTGCATATTACAACCAAAAACACAACGATCATGACTTCTATAAACACTTCTTCTCGCACACCAAAAAAGCCAAAAAGGATTACATTTCTAGGTTCATGTAACATCATTATGAAGGATGACGGAAATTGAAGGATAAGGTGACTCACGAATATATAACCTGTCCACAGACACAAATGAAAACAGTTTATATCATCTTTTATCCACATAACAGAGTGTTAACAGAATAAATTTGCACAAGTAACAAGGCGTCACTTCTACAGAACTACTCCTAAAATGGAAAGATGGACTACCATTTATTAGTATTTGCAATCAAGGAATAATGAGTCCAAACAACATAGAAGGATATATCTTGCCGAATTTCTCCCTTTTCCTTTGTAATGATTTTTCTCTTGTCGAATTTCTCTTAAAATTCAATTAGCAATCCACCATAAATGGTAGCTCTGAGAGAACAGCAGGATAATGGTGCTATAAAAGAAAGCAAAATGGGCAAATATTTGCAGTGTGGCAAAAGCTATGACGCTTTTCCCCCCAGCAAAATAGAGGTTGCACTTATAGAGGTAAGATATTCTGTTGTTCCTTTTTTGTTTACCACAACATTTTGTTCTCATAACTGTAAGTTCCTCGTACCAAAATGGAACTATCCTTTATACCATTTTCCCACAGCATACTAACAGTATAAAGTTTGAAAAGGAGAAGGATAATGTTTAGCTGGTGTTGCCTTTGTGAGGAAAACAGTGAGAAGGTGGACTGTAAAAGCACATATTATGTTGACATCCACTTGATATATCCATGAAATCATTCACTTATAGGCAACACTAGCACTAAAAATGAAAGAAAATAAAAAGAAAACAGCTTATAAAATAATCTTCAGTCACTATTCACTAGTATTATACAAAATATTTGAACTTATAAAAAATGGTAATATATAAAATAATTGGGGGTGCGAAATATAATGATTAGTACATATTGCAAAAACAGTTCTCCTCTAACTTCATTGACCACTAGGCCACACCCTAGGTGTTTTATGACTTTGCATTCAACTAAAATTTTGTTTACTAATAAAGGACCCTTTGTAGTTTCTCAGAGTAACTGTAGTTTGAATGCTAATGTGATTTTAGTAAGAGCCAGCCATCTTCCCTCTGTTTCATATCATCATTTGGCTTTTAAATTTAAGTTATAGAATTAAAATTTCTTAAGCGGCAAATCATTGAAAATCATTTGCCAACATGCCTTGCTATTTGTCTTTTAACGCCAGATAAGTAACTCGACAATAGCATTATTAACCACATTTTTCATAATATTTGTATTCGGCATTTGGTAGTCCTAAACATGTTCTCTTTTTTGCCTTTTATACCCTTAAGAATTAATTCATTTCATCAAATAAATAATTCTATAATCGGCAAATTTGTAAAAATTATGATTTTCTCTAATAATTAGGTTTTGAGATCAACTAAGATTACAATTTAGAAGAAACGTTTGTCCCCATATGTGTCTCTATTTTGCAATAAGGCATTTGAAGACCTTCATGGCGCAAGATGTCTTCCTTTATTGAGCTAGCTAAATGAGTTTAATATTCATCATTTTCATAAACTTCCACTTCTCTCTTTAAATTTTATTTGAAAACTAAAACACATTGTTTAATAAGATCTATATGAGTTTTAAAAATCATTTACTCATTAAATGAGGTACACAAGCAAAGCCGGTATCCAAAAACTAGTACATATAACATACATGGTGCCTCCTTAAAATTTCAGGTTCCATCAAACGGTACAAACAAAAGATGTTTAATCAAAGGCAATATTAGGATGATACAGTCTAGAAAATTAAATGACTTCTATGAACAAAAAAAAGTAGGATACCTTATGTTGCAAGACCTTAATAAAGATAAGGCAAAAAACTAACCGGATATTGATCATAGATCAAGTCCCTACGACCTTTGCCTGGGCACAATGGATGAGAGTGCTCCTTGACAAATTTTGTGACAACCCATTTTCCAGAGCTAATTTTTCTAACTAATATCATTGCTCTGCAACCAACCCTAGTTTCTGCTCTCTGTCGCACAATCTTTTCCCGCTTATCAGGCATTCTAAAACCCTCCTTGTTGCAAACAAGTGCTCGACCAATGGCGGAGCCATCGCGCCTAGATCGTGAAAGCTTGCTAACCCGGATGATAAAACCCACCCTTGTTGCATATGCATTATAAAATGCATGTGCAGCAGCTTCAGATTCAAACTCCAGGCCAACGAAAGGTTCATCTGAAGTTGAATTATCCAGAGATTGTGCTTCTTCTAATAAAAGGTCTTCCCTTTCAGGAAGGTCTTCATCCACCTTGACATCATGCACCTGATGAAGTGCCTCCTCACTGGAACTTCCTCCAATCAAATTTTCATCTACTGTTCTGAGTTCCACAACTGTTCCCTCTTCCTCATCACCACTGACGTGATCATCAACCACAAAGTCCACTGTTGAATCAATTATGTCAGTAATTTGCTAATACCATAAAATTCAACAGATAAAACGGTTATAGAAAAACCAAACGGCCAAGGATGTCCAAATTAGAAAACAGATACGTCACAATTCGAACAGCAGAAACAGATGATGTGGGCGGTATCAGACTACAGTTCCCATGCCAACTAACAAGTTATGTAACAAGCTTAAGCTAAAAGAAGAAGAATAAAAGTACCAAGAGGTTGCCATATTTTACAATAGAAGAGCTTACTGTAGACTAATCTATACATAGATGTAAAGAGCTAATAGACTCTACGGGATTTGTAGAATTATTTCCATCATTTAACTTGCACCAATAATAAAAAAATGAATACAGTGATATTTTAGTTGATGAAGTGATCTGCTTTTACCCTCAAAACACTGGTGCAATTTCCCAGATAACTTTTATATCCTTTTCCAGCTTTTTAAAGTATGGACTTGGGAATTATCCATTCAATGCCAAAAATGTTCAAAAACATGTCCTAAAATTTTGCCGTTATTCTGCAATTTATAAATAAATGGTATACACTATACACTTCTGTTTCCATGTTGCACACGAAGCATCAGGTGCACAAATAAATCCCCCTTTTCTTAGGATTCTCATGGGATGTGGTACTTCCTTTGAAACAATTCAACCAAAGCAATGACACCATAGGGAGGCTGCACTTTTCAAAATTCTTCTCCAAGGACAACCATATTCTCCATTTATGAATAAATTTCATACCTTGATTTAACCTATAAGGCCTTTCTATCATGAGCCATCTCAAAAAATCTTTCCCGCTGGTCAGCCAGTTGCTACCTTCTAATCTGGTGATAAGCTTAATCAAGTCCTCTAAACTCTCGGGCCTTGGCAATTCCTTCTAAATGAGATGCTCCAAACTCTTTCAAGCTCTACAATGAACTATAGTTACATCAGGATGAATCGCCAATCGAAAGATCTCCCAACCAAATATCCTTCCAGAACCTAATTTCTGGCCATCCAAAACCTACAGAAAAGTATGTATTCGAAACTTAGGCAATAAACTTGTAATATATCTCCGCAGTCCATAACCATGTGGAGAACTAACTCGGTTAGTGCACCAGCAATCACTTTTTCCATATTTTGCTGTGATAATTCTTCTCCATAAAGAGTCCTCCTCTTGACTTATATCTCCATAGTCAGCCTTATACGTTAGTTTATCCTCTATGGTTTTACTTCTTTTGGATTAAGTTATCCTTGATGAAGATCATTCACTCTTGCAGCAGCAAATCCCCAACTAAACAAATACTCCCTTCTTTATACAACAAAAACAATAATTATGCCTCAATCCTAAACTAGTTCAGAATTGCCATACAAATCCTCAAAACTCATCCCACTCCATCTAGGTCCATTTCACTCCAATGTTTGCTAATATGTCCAAAGGCTTCTTAAAAGCTAGGAGTTCTCTAAGCATCACAGTTAAAAAGCTAATGGGGCAAAAAAAAATCATATCTTTTCAATAACTTAAATAATTGGTAACCAAAAGCATAACTGATTCAAAATTCAAAAGACAAATTCCAAATTAATACTGTCCCAAACACATAAGAAGCTGTAACTTTCAGCCTAAAACATAAACTCCAGCACTCAGTATACAGAGAATTAAAAAAAAATACCCAAATACAGGGGAAACCAATAATCCCCAGAGAAAATTCTGTTCATTACCCAAAAGGGTTTTATTCCCTTGTTAGAGTTCAGCTTCAATAACCACCACAAAAATATTTGAAAATTTTCTCCCGGACTCAATTCCAACAGAAAAAAAAGAACAAAAAGAGCAATTTTTTTTAATACAAATTCAAACTTTCTGTGGATTCCACCAAACAAAGAATCGGAAACGAAAAACTTACTCAAAATCGTACAAATGACGAAATGAATCCACGTTGTGAAGGTTTCGCAGGAACGGACAGAAGGTGGGGGTGGGGGTGGGGG